TCATGTTTACATGGATGGAGCTGGAAAATGTTCTTCTTAGTAAAGTATCTCAAGAATGGAAGAAAAAGTATTCAATGTACACAGTCCTATTTTGAAACTAATGTATAGCTTTCATAGGAAAGATATAACCTAATTATAGCCTTAGAATATGGGGAGGGGGAAGGAGAGGGGATGTAAGGGAGGAGGGGAGTGGCGGGGGGTGGATGGGTAGAGGAAGTGTGATTGTTGGGGTCACTTCTATGGTTTATCTTACAAGGGTACAAATGAATCTTTCTAAAAGCAGAGTATGAATGTCTTAATAACTAAGAAAATGACATGAAGGCTAAGTTAACCAGTTTGATGAGAGTATTTCAAATTGTATATGAAAACACCACACTGTACCCTGTGATTGCATTAATGTACACAGCTATGATTTAATTAAAAAAAAAAGAAGTATTACTAAAACAACAGTAAACAAACACACTGCTTTGGGAAAATATTTTCATATCATCAGACAGGCCTTATGGAAAAAGTGAAATATTTTATTGCTGCAGAAATGTACTGAGGTCCTATTTTATGTTAAGATCTATGCAAAGTACTGAAGACACAGCAAGTAATATACAGCCCTGGTGATAAACCTGAAGGTGGTTAAGACTAGAACAGACAGAGTTGCTATAAGATGCTTTGGGGGGCGGCACCTGTGGCTCAAAAGGGTAGGGCCCTAGCCCCATATGCCAGAGGTGGCAGGTTCAAACCCAGACCTGGCCAAAAACTACAAAAAAAAAAAAAAAAAAAAAAAAGATGTTTTGGGACCAGAAAGCCCAGAAGCAGGAGCATGTGCTCAAGTGAGACTCAGGGTGCAATGCAGTTTGCATGAAAGGAACATAGTGAAAGTGTCCTGGTTTAAGAGGGACCAGCCCTGTGGCAGGCAGCCTGCGGGTGTGCAGGATGCCCTGACACAGACATGATCTGCTCTCTAGAGGTCTTGGGAAGATAACCAGCAACAGCTGGAACACCGGAATAGCTGGAGTAAAAAGAACTTAGGGCAGAAACACTAGTCTGGGGCCCTTGGCAGTAACCCTGGGCTAAGGGGAAAGGGCCCAGTCCAGGCAGACAGAGGAAGGGCGGGTGTGAGGTCAGAGTAAAGGGCAGCTTGACTAATGGAGTGTGGATGATGAAGACAGGGAGGCGCAAGGGTCCCTGTGAGCTAAACGCTGACACAGTCAAGCAGGAGAGTGAGGCAGGCTGAAGACATGGCAGAAGCATGCCAGGCCTGGCAGGATAGGGAGGGAGAGGGAAGAAAAGAGGGAGAACAGAGTCAGCAAATTCTGTCCAAGAAAACATGTCTATCCCCTGGGCTTCTTGTCAAGTCTACAGCATTTAAAAACAAATGCAAACACTAGAAAAAGAGCAGTTTAGATCTCTTCTTAAGGGGACACATGGAAACATTACCAGGTTGCACTGTAAAGAAATTTTACATTGGGCTTAGCTATGTGTAGAACTAGGATCCCACAGGCCCTCACTGCCTGAGCACAGGAGGTGCTGGCCAGTGGCTGTTTTCTTGGTATCTGCTGATAGAAGTCCTGTGACAGGGACCTGCTGCCCAAAAGGCTGCTGTGTCTCTCAGGAGTGTGGACGTGCAATAAGGTGCGTGCAAGACACTAGGTCACAGGATGGCTGAAGGCTAGGAATATGCTTCTCAACACTCTAGCTCCTGAGTGGCACATGGGCTCCTACACCACTTACAAGCAAAGCAGCACAGTCCACTGCTGAATGGGAGGCAAAGCTTCAGAAAGGTCAAAGTCTACAAGCTCTTGTAGCTCGCAGAGATCACGCCATGGCTCACTGATGTGATTAACCTTGGACACTGGGGTTCTGTAAGCAGCAAAGCTGACTTCATGGTGGGAACCCTGGCACAGGGCACTCTGTCAGGCTCCAGGAGGGGCATGCAGGCTTGGGCTCCTCTGAAGGAGCTACAGGCAATGGCAAGGAGGGCAACAGAGCTTTTGTCTAGAAACTTCACATCTAATCCCCCAGAAATCTTATAAGGAGACTGATGCAGAGAGGTCCTAGAGGGGGCTGAGGGGGTCGAGGGGGCCTCAGCCAGGGGAGAAGGTGGCTGCACTTAAACTCCAAGCTGTTGACGCCAAAGCTCATTTTCTCTCTTTGGACTTTAACCCTTGTTCACCCCTAGCTTCGCGATGTTAATCTGTGGGCACCTCCTGTCCTATGACCTACACCATTGATTTGTGAATCAACTCGTATTTGTACTAAATTTATTTTAAAAGGTAGGTGGTGGACTAGGAAATGAAAAGATGGCTGAGGTGGGCCAGGTGCAGTGGCTCACACCTGTAATGCCACACTCTTGGAGGCTGAGGCGGGTGCATTACTTGAACTCAGGAGTTTGAGCCCAGCCTGAGCAAGAGCGAGATCCCCATCTCTACTAAAAAATAGAAAAACTGAGGCAAGAAGATCATTTGAGCCTAAGAATTTGAGGTTGCTGCGAGCTATAATGACGCCATGGTACTCTACCCAGGGCGACAGAGTATGACGGAGAGGAGAGAGGAGGGGAGGGGAGAGGAGAGAAGAGGACAGGAGAGGAGATGGCCAACGAGACAGCGGGGAAGGACCCGGCCCTGAAAGGGGTATGTGCTCTCCAAATGAGAGGTAGACAGGTGAGAGGCCTAGACTGTGGCCCACAAGGTGAAAGTCAGCAAGTGGAAGGGTCTTGGGGGGGGGTGTCCAAGGCCCAGGGTGCCTGGCACCCTGTGGAATGACAAGCTCCAGCCATGGAGAAGCTGGCAGAGATGGGGTACAGAGAGGGACCAACGTGGGGCTCTGGGCAAGAAATCCACATACAAATGTTTCCCATGGCTTTGTTCATAACCGCCAAACTTGGAAGCAGCCAAGAAGGCCACAGATGAATGGATAAACTACCATTTGCAGACAAGAAGGGCTGAGCCGTCAAGCCAGAGAGACAGGGAGGAATTTAAATGCACACTACTAAGTGGAAAATATGAAAAGGCAGCATGTTGTGTGACTCTAACCATATGATAGTTTGGAAACAGGAGCCTGTGGTATATGAGTCTGCCATAACAAAGTCTTGCCACCAACTGGGTGGCTTAAACAACAGAAATTTATTTTCTCACAATTTTGTAAGTTAGAAGTTCGAGACCAAGGTGTTCTGTCTCTCCTGCGTCCTCTCTCCTTGGCTTGTACGTGCTGTCTTCTCCCCGTGTTTCAGTGGTCAGTCTGTGTCCTAATCTCCTCTTCTTATCAGTATCCCAGTCACAGTGGATTAGGGCCACCCTAATCTCATTTTACCTTAATTACCCTTTAAAGCCCCAGTCCCCAAATAGCCATATTCTGAGGTCCCAGGGTTAAGAACTTCAGTATGTGACTTCTGGAAGGAAACAACTCTGGTCATAAAATTTGAGAGTGCTGCTCTGGCCCACTTGTTGTGACTCAGATTGCTGCTAGTTTTAAGGCAGGTGCAGAGCAAGAGAAGGCTCTGGTATAGGTGCTGATGCTGTGCCACATGGCCATGGGAGCCAGTGGATCCTGCGGTGCTTAGGGTGTCTCTGGCAACAAGGACATCCTTGGAGCCTTCTGCAGCCCCTGCAGGTGGATCACAGCCTGGAGAGCATTTGATGGGCAGCTCTTAGCCTGGTGCTAGACTCTAGAGGAAGTTGACTGCTGACTATGGGTCACCAACTCCCTTCGTGGCCTGAGCTGGGTTGTGTGCACTGTGGTGCTTCATTACTAAATGGAAGGGCACACATATTGCTGGGCCCAAGCAGGCCCTGCAGGCACAAGCTGGTCACATGAAGAAGCCCCCCAAATGCCCATGGACCCACTCTTGCTAGGCTACCTTCCCTTCCCAGCTTGCACCTGTGGCCTCATGGGGAATCCCATGTATCAGCTGACAGAGGAGAAATCTCAGCATACAAATGGCTGTGCAGATGTGCGGGCTTCACCTGGAAGTGGACAGCTGTAGCAGCGCAGCCCCAGTCTGGGCCATCCCTGGTGACAGTAGCAAAGGGAGCCCTCCCAATGGGCAGAACCACTTCTGCTGTACAAGCACACAGTTGGCAGCACTTTGTTCAGGCCACCCTAGGAAACAAGTACAGAATCTGCTAACACGTATCAATAAAAAGCCAATCTGAAAATGCTGCATGCTGTATGATTCTGTATATACGACATTCCGGAAAAGGCAAAACCATGAAGATGGTATAAACATCAGTGGTTGCCAGGGGTTAGAGGAGAGAATAGGATAAACAGGAGGGGCACATGTCATCAACATCAGCCTCACCACAGCGTGCACTGCAGCTGTGAGCCTGTGGTTGCCAATGTTTGTTTTTGCTCACCAACACGCACACTAACTGATGCAGGGTGTTAATAGCAGATGCTGTGGGATATGGGACTCTGTACTTTCCCTCAACCTTTCTATAAACCTAGCACTACCCTAAAAATAAAGTCTATTAGTTAAAACAACAACAACAACAAAAACAAAGAAAAAAAAAACAGGGCTGCTCACAGACCAGAGCTCAGAGCCTACGCAGCAAGAAGCAGTGTCCAAAATAATGCAGTGTAACCTAGCTGCTGCCACCTTGTGGGTGCAGCCCTGAGAACTCACGCTCAGGACCTGCTGCCAGACAGCCACCACTGCTCTCTTTGGGCACTGCATGTGGCCCTCAGGTGCCTGCTTCTTGCTCTAGTTGCTGGCGCAGGGCAGAGGGTTGCCTGCGGGGTGGTCTGCTCCCAGCTGGGCTGCAGTTGCAAAGGGGGCCAGGAAGCACCTGTCGGAACTCTTCAGCTTCCCAGAGAGATGAGGGCTCTGACTCAGGAGAGCTTAGGAAAGCAAGTACGCTGGGGACTTACCAAATTCAGGGTGAGGGGCAGATGCAGCGTCCAAAACCAGTGACAAATGTCTAGAACACGTGTAATCCTATCAAAAGGCAGTAAGGGGCTGTGTAGACGCTGCAGGTCGGCCCAGGGGTTGCAGAAGCCAATCTGGGAGGCAGCATGGCAGTGGGGTTCAGGCGGAGCTGTGGGATCCTGAGAAGTATTTCCCATTTTGGCTGGAGATCACAACATACAAAAGCTATCCCAAAACATGAACCAGGATTAGGATATAGTTTTCATTTCACTGAATAGCAGAAAGAATTTCAAGCTACTGCTCGTAAATTTGCCAGAGAGGAAATAATACCAGTTGATGCAGAATATGATAAAACTGGTGAATACCCTGTCTCCCTAATTACAAGAGCTTGGGAACTCAGTTTAATGAATATACACATTCCATAGAGTTGTGGAGGTCTCAGACTTGGAACTTTTGATGCTTGTTTAATAACTGAAGAATTGGCTTATGGATGCACTGGGGTTCAGATTGCTATTGAAGCAAATTCTTTGGGACAAATGCCTGTTATTATTGCTGGAAATGATCAGCAAAAAAAGAAGTATTAGGGGAGAATGACTAAAGAGCCATTGATGTGTGCCTACTGTGTAACAGATCCTGAGCAGGCTCTGATGTAGCTGGTTTGAAGACCAAAGCAGAAAAGAAAGGAGATGAGTATATTATTAATGGTCAGAAGATGTGCATAACCAATGGAGGAAAAGCTAATGGGTATTTTCTTACTGGCACGTTCTGATCCAGATCCTAAGGCTCCTGCTGGCAAAGCCTTTACTGGGTTTATTGTGGAAGCAGATACCCCAGGAATACAGATTGGAAGAAAGGAATTAAACATGGGCCAGTGATGTTCAGATACTAGAGGAATTGTCTTTGAAGATGTGAAAGTGCCTAAGGAAAATGTTTTAATTGGTGAAGGAGCTGGTTTCAAAATTGCAATGGGAGTTTTTGATAAAACCAGACCTCCAGTAGCAGCTGGTGCTGTTGGATTAGCACAAAGAGCTTTGGATGAAGCTACCAAGTATGCCCTGGAAAGGAAAACTTTTGGAAAGCCAATTGTAGAGCACCAAGGGATAACATTTCTGCTGGCTGAAATGGCAATGAAAGATGAACTAGCTAGATTGAGTTACCAGAGAGCAGCCTGGAAGGTTGATTCTGGTCACTGAAATACCTGTTATGCTTCTATTGCAAAGGCATTTGCTGGAGATATTGCAAATCAGGTAGCTACTGATGCTGTGCAGATTTTTGGAGGCAACGGATTTAATACAGAATATCCTGTAGAGAAACTAATGAGGGATGCCAAGATCTATCAGATTTATGAAAGTACTACACAAATTCAAAGGCTTATTATAGCCTGAGAACACATTGGCAAGTATAAAAACTAAAGAGATTGCTGTAAAAACATCACTCATCATTGATAACTAGAACATGATTCACTTATTTAAGGTCCAGAAAAAAGAAAGGGCTTTAACATTTCCCCTGTGAAAATAAAAATGAGTACTCTAATACTATATCTAAGCATCTGATTCCAAAAGTAGTAGGTACTTTATTTAACTCTATGACTTCCCTTTTCTAAAACAGATTTGGTTTTGTTAAAATTATGTGTTGGTCTTAGTACCAATGTATTTGTATTAATTAACAAAGAAAAATACACTTGTTATGATGTGTTAAAGTGGCAAAAATTCCTTGGATTCCACTGTTTTACAAGTGACAGAAAAGTGGGCTTATAAAGTATTCAGAATGTTCCAAATTTACATTGAGAAATGTAGACGTGGACACCATCAAACAACTTACCAGTGACCATGTAGCCTTAACAGTATTATTTTTAGTGCTCATTTTACTGCCACGTGGAAAGCATTTGCTTTCAGTTTTGCAAAGAGAGGGAGGAACAGTCAAAAATTTGATATTCATATTAACCCCCTTATTTCATACAAGTTCAAGAAGCTTCTTGAAATTCTTGTATAGTTTTGAGCCCACATTTCACTTAGCTTTATTAAAATAAATCAAAGCTTGCCTTAAAATATTTTTATATGACTCAGTTGGTCTGTAGGTAGCCTTTGGTCTATTGTACACAATTTCATGTGTATGCATTTTGAAAAGGAACTTAAATAAAATTATTCAGTGGTTATAAAAAAAAAAGGCAGTAAGGCACACAGCAGCAGGCTTGACACCACAGCACACTGTGCAAACAGCCATCTGAAACAGGGTATAGGCATAGCCTGAGAACTCGTCAGAAATGCTTAATTCTTGGTACTGCAGGACTAGGAATCAAACACTGAGGTCGTGGCCCAATAGTCAGAGCAAGACTTCCTGTGGTTCTCACATACAGTGAAGTTTGAGAAGCACTGCTGTAAAACTTTCTTAACCATGACCTGAAATTACAAAAGAGAAACAAAAACAGACAGAAATGAAGAACAAGAGCAATGAAAGACAACAGCAAAAGAGATGCTTTTTCACTTCTGTGGTGAGGTGACAGAAAATGTGATCAAATGGGGTGAGATGTCCAGGCACAAAGTGGGGGTGCTGGGCCCCAGAACCGTCTACATCCGCAGCCCTAAGCCTGGGACATGCTGGGCCCATGTCAAAGGCAAACTGTGGATGCAGAAGGAATGATGGCTGCAAATCAACCAATCTTTTTTTTTTTTTTTTTTTTGTGAGACGGAGCTTCAAGCTATCCCCCTGGGTAGAGTGCCATGGCATCACGCCCACAGCAACCTCCAACTCCTGGGCTCAAGCGAGTGTCCTGTCTCAGCCTCCCAAGTAGCTGGGACCACAGGCGCCCGCCACAACGCCCGGCTATTTTTTTTGGTTGCAGCCATCATTGTTGCTTGGCGGGCCGGGCTGGATTCGAACCCGCCACCTTAGGTGTATGTGGCTGGCGCCTTACCCGCTTGAGCCACAGGCGCCGAGCCCAAATCAACCAATCTTAAGAAACAGAGGTTATGCTGGATTATCCTGGTGGGCCCGATTTCATCACAGGCATCCTTGACAGGGCCAGAGAGATGGCAGCATGAGGACTTCCCCAACTCAGCTGGCACTGAGGATACAGGGGACCACCAACCAAAGCATGTGGGTTGTCTCTTGAAATGAGAAAAGTCAAGGACGGACTCCCCACAGAGTCTCCAGAAAGGAACAAACCCTGTTGAGTCCTTGGTGCCAGCATGGTGGGTCTCCTAACCCGCAGAATGGAAGATGACATGCTCCCGCTGCTTCCAGCCACTGACCCTGTGTCATCGTCATCAGCAGCAGCAGCAGCAGCAGCCACAGGAAACACACACATGAGGCTTTCAGCTCTTTTCTACTCTCTCCAGTGTGTGACTCCCTTCTCAGGAGCAGCTCCTCTGCTTCAGCCTCGGCCAAACCCACTTCTCAAGCCCTCTGAAGGGAATTCTTTCTGTGTATGAAATGGTATAAGCTGAGTTGGGGAGAGGGTCCACTAGTGTGCCAGGCCACCGACCTGGAGTGACTTCCCCCTCAGAGGCCCACACACAGAAGACAGGGTGAGGCCTCCAAGAACATTCATGCAGGTTGGAGGTACTGGGCTTCCTGTGGACTCAACCTGAGTTTGGAAACACTGATGGAAAAGGCTGCAGCAGCGTGAGACACCTGCATTAACCACCTTGTGTGTGACAGGCCCACTGAGCCACTCCTCCACACATTCAATATGTGTGTACTGAATTCATGATAATAAATGGAGATGGTTATTGCTCTTGATAAAAATGATCTTTTGTAATATATATATTAATATGTTTGAGATTATCTGTGGAGTCTAGACCAGAAGTTAAGCAAACCTTGGCCTGTAAGGTAAATGCAACTTGTTTTATATCAACTAAGAATAATTTTTACATTTTTAGATGGTCAAAAAAATAAAAAAAAGAATATTTCATGACATGTGAAGTATTCAAATTTTGGTGCTTACAAAGTTGAAGTGGAACACAGCAGCACTCATTCCTACGTGTGTTGTCCCCGGCCACTTTCATGCTGTGCATAGTACATTTTATTTTGACTATACATTCTGTCAAAACAAAATACAAGTGGATTTTGAAGGTCGCATTTTCATAGCACAGTGAAGTGTGCATTATTTGTTATCTAATTAGATGGTGAAGGATCCATTCAATGACATAAACCTCTGCCAAAAGAATACAATAACTAGCAGCAAATCTAGCACATCACAAGATTCCCAAGTCACAGAAAAGCAATGATCAGAAAAATCAGAAAACTTAAAATGGAATGTCTCATCACAGAAAAATTTTCTTCACCAAGGTAAGCTTCTGAGTAGTTCATTAGTTAGCCAAGTCAGAAAAACAATATGCTGGTGGTAATTAGATCACTCTTGATTGCAGCAGCTGAAGAAATGTATCCAGAGAGAACAAACTGAAGTATACCCTCTGTAAGTTGACCACCCAAGAGACTGTGGCAAACTGGTAAACATAAGGAATTAGGCCTATTGTACTGAGACGTACATGTGGTGCATGTCCAGTCTATGAAAATTAGGTCAACTTTGGGAGGTGGTCAATGTAGGGGAGGTGTTTAGCTATGGAGGCTCTACTGCATTAGCCTTTTGGCAAAAAGAGTTGAGAACTTTGGGAACAACATAATATCAATTCAAGATCAAGGTGAGCAATTTCGAAGGGTTTTTCTTTTGGCTCATGATGTTAACAGTTGGTTCCTGCAAACCTCAGGCCCTTGCAGGAAGGCCCATATCATAATATAAGTTGTTACTGTTTAGTCAGCAAGTCTATACCAAGTTCAGAGTGCCTGTATAATTAGCCTCTGTGAACAGTCTTTGCGGAGAGGATATTTTCAAAGATATTCAGAATACATTAATTCAGTAGAGCTGAAGTAGAATCCACTAAGATAAGTTACCACTAACAGTGGCAGAAATGGATATGGAACAGGAAAACGCTAAGTTGGACAAATTTACAAAGTTCGTAAAAATGTAAGGCATTTGAATCCCATAGTTATTTATTGTTTAATTCGTACCCAAGTACTCTGCAGAGAATACTATATCTGAACTTGTCATGAACTGTTTTATCGAACCATTAGTATAAGCAATGAACTTTATTTACTTTTTTGGACACTGTCTCTTCGGTTCCATTAATGTACAGCAAAAACAGAAGCTGAGTATTTGAATCACCCTACAGCAGTTCTGTGGCTTAGTAGTGGTAAAGTTTTATTGTGAGTTTTTGAGCTCAGGGTTGAGATGAGAATTCTTTTAGAAGAACCTTTGACAGTCTCTATTATTGAACGTTGAATTGCTTTGGGAATTAGCTTTTGTTGAAGACTTGTTTCTTGAGTCATTCAACCGAAATTATAAGGGAAAACTGCACTTACATGCAAATCTTATATTGTGATAAAGTCATCTAGGTGACACTAATATTGTTTGATTCAGAAGTAAAGTGCAGCTGCTTTGCATACTTCCTGTGCTGTCAGGAAGTATAGTTCCTACTAGCACACACATTTGCAGCAGAAACATTTTCCAAGCTCAAATGACAATTCCAGGGGAATTTTTCAGAACTTGACACAAATAATACAAAGGAAATTTCCCAATTCTGAAATCCATTTGACTGCAATCAAGGATCTTCCACTTAACCTTCAATTGGGAGATTAGTTTACAATGTAATGGAATACTAAAAGGTAGATATCAAGAGAAGAATCAAATAGAATCTATAAATGCCTTCTAAGTGAACATGCTCAATTAAAGTCATATGCTTGAGAAGTGATATCCATACTTGGAACTACCTGAGAGAAAGACATTTGTAAAGATAAGATGCATAACATCTCATTAGAAGTCAGCGTTAGGAAATGGAGGAATTTCAAGATAGGGAACACTTATTTTGAACCCCAATTAAGTGAAATGTTACCCCTCCCCCCCCAGAACAGTATCATTCTCATTAGTAGATCTACCTTCCAAAAATTATACTCAATTATTCTTGTTACATTTATATGTTGAATTTCATTAATAAACATTTGGTAAAAATTTGTTTTATCTCTCACTAGATAAGTACCTACATAATATCCCTTAATTTGGGATATTGGCCCATAAACCTGCTCCCCTCCAGAGACAGTTACTAACTCTTGGTCTAGATGTGCTTTGCTACTCAAAGCACAGTCCCCAGTCCAGCACAGTCAGTTCACGGAGCACCTACAAAGAACATGGAACTTTGGGCCCCATCTTGACCCTCCTCAATCAGAATCTGTGTTTATATTTTACCAGAGTCCCTGGGGACCCACATGCACACTGAAGTGTGAGAGGCCCTGCTCCAGAACTGCACTGAGGTGGTGTGAGTGCAAACTTCCAGTGATTGCTCTCTCATACACTGGCCCTTTCTCACACAAGCTGCTGTGAGTCTTCTGGCTATGTGCTGTGGGCACTGCTCTGGGC